GCTGAAATTGGGACTAAACTAGCACCGGAGAGTGGCGGCATCAGCGGCGGCGACAGTGGTGCCCAGTCGGATTCTAGATATAAGGGTGGTTTCTGGGTTTTTGTTTAAAGAAGGTTGGGAGAGTTTTGAGAGAGCTGTTTGTAGAGAGAGAGAGAGAGAGAGAGAGAGAGAGAGAGGGAGAGAAGAGAGACGAGGGAATGAATTAAAATTTTTTTTATTTTTATACTGTAAAATAAAAAATACGGAGGGAAAAATTTGTGTAACTTATTAATAATTTTTTCATTCTCACTTATTTTCATACTCTAACCAAACAAAACCTAAAAGTTTTGTATTTTTACAGCTAATTCATTTTGGAATTGCTCTTTTGGATCAGTCCTAATCTTTGTTAGAGACATAAAACAAACTCTATACTCTGATTTTTCTTCAAAGATAGCTAATCCCACGAAACACCCATAGAAACCACTCTCTTTCTCTAGTGCCAACCTTTCATAAGCAAGAGGACTTTTGGGTTTAGTTGACTAAGGGAAACTGTAAAATTTTAGTATTTCTTGTGATATGAGGCAGGTAATTTTTGGAACAAAGTGTAGGAATATTTTCTCTACTTTTGTCTTATTTATTGTGAGTAGATATTTTGCAGAGAACAAAAGAGATTTTGAAAAAGATATAAATATAATTTCAGGGAAGAAAGGGAAAAGAAAGGAGCCAGATGCTAAAATGGATGTAGAATGAGTTAAAAGTACCTTTATTTTGGATTAAAAATTTAGAAATATTTTACTTAAGGAATTAAGATTATAAAAATCATCATGTTATATAATTAATTCATCAAAAAAATTCAATGTATAACGTCATAATCATACGTGTGTCATCTTCCTCATCGCAGCACTACCCTCCGTTGCTGCCATTGTTGCTTTTTTGACATCGAGATTCACCCCTTTATTCTTTGGACTAAAAGAGATATCATCCCTGCCATCTCTTGAAAAGGACTATTCTGTTTTAACTGACTTAGCTTTTGGTAATTCTGATCGGAGCCATCTTCCATATTCCTTCTTTATTAATCCAAGTTCGCTTTTCCTCATCAGTGCCTCGTTACATTCATTTTCTACATGATCGAGTTTGCCACACACAACAAAATTTTGGGAAACGTTCATATTGGAACATAACCAAGACCTTTCTCCCATCATTAACTGCAACTTTTGTTCCCCTCTTAAGAGATTTACTGCTGTCTACCAGGACTCTTATTCTTAAAATCTTTTCCCAGGCATTATTATCCCCATCAGTTTCTACTTCTTCTACGTCGCCTAACTTTTCACCAATCACCACCACTACCTACTTGTTCATCATGTTCAGATGGCAAAGCATGAACATGGATCCAAAACTGGCGCCATGACATATTAATGGAATCCTGAAGAACGAGTCGGGCCTTCAAAATCCTGAAGAACGAGTCGGGCCTTATTGAAAGACCATAGCTGTGTCATTTGGACCCTGTTTTTCTCCATCATGTCCTCAAACTGAAAGAGAAAAAGTCTCTCCCTAATCACCTTTATCTGTAATATTCTATTTAATTTCCATTCTTTGTGAAGAACCCCTCTCATAGCCTCCAAGTTTAAACCTTTTTTGGTCATAACCTTCCAAAGCAGACATGCTTTCCCCTCTATCTCAGTTGATTCTAACCAGCTTTTTTCCACCATCACCTCCCCTCTCTCTATGTCTGTCAGAGTTAACTTATCCCATAGATCCTCCGGTTCTTCCACCATCAAAATGGTTCACCAAGCAAACCTAAAAAATGTACAAAACCATAGACAAAAAAAATAAAATAAAAACAAGATGCTCCCCATTACTTTGTTAGGGAACACCACAGCTCTGATACCACTTGTTGGGCTAAAAACCTTCAATCCAATCACACCAGCGAAAGCAAAATCAAATAATAAATCAAACACATAAGAGACAATAATTTAACGTGGTTCGGTCCAACTGACCTACATCCACGGATGAGAAACAAAATCTATTAGTTGTAGAGAATTACAAACATACATCAAATCATCAACCTCACTCAACAATCAATACTCATAAGATACTCTCAATCTCTTATAGTCCTATAAAGTATTTTCAACCCAAACAAACACAAACCCAAACCCTTATGCACAATTTCAATATAACCAAACGCATACCCATATGCTCCCATACATCATACCTATGTTGACCCTTTCAGTCTCCTCTAGTTCACTCACAAACAAACATACACACTTATAAGACGTAGAGCCCCAATACTCCTATGAGGTGTCTATCCCACAAAACCCTACAACTCTCTTACATCTTTTTCTCATACCTAACCCTGTAGAGACTTCACCTATTTATAACCATACAAACTTGCCATTAAAAATCCCTCTCATCTTAGAATTCTTCTCTTGTAAGTCAAACTTGCCTATTAAGAATCCATTTTCTTTTAGAATTCTTCTCTTGCAAGTCAAACTTACCTATTAAAATCATCTTTCTCTTGAAATTCTTCTTTTGCAAGTCTTCTTGTCCATCAAGCAATATCTGACAAATCTCAAACAAATCTCTAACAAATCTCAAACAAATCTCTTATGGGATTTGAGTCAATATTCCCAACAATCTCCACCTTGACTCAAATTTCATCAATCATCTATCTTCATGCTAGACATGCTTGGCACCACCTGCAATGGAAGTCTTATAATCATCTTCTCTTCTCTTGTGTCTTCACGCTTCATACAAACCAATCTTCAATCTTAAACTCGAACTCTTCTCTTGAATCGAGCTCCTCTAAGCTTACTTCTTCTCATGTTTCAAACCAAGCTCTTCCCCATATCTCGAAACTATCAACTCTTCCCATGTCTTCGAACCATCGGCTCTTTCCACATCTTGAATCATTTAACTCTCTCACGTTTTCGAACCTTCAACTCTGATACACGTTGTGGGCTAAAGCCTCCAATCTAATCACACTCACGTGGAAAGCGACACATCAAAATAATAAATCAAACACATAATGAGACAATAGATTTAACTGTGGTTCGGGTCCAACTGACCTACATCTACGGATGAGAAACAAGATCTATTAGTTGTAGAGAATACAAACATACATTCAAATCATCAACCTCACTCAACAATTCATAATCTTCATTAAGACACACTCAATCTCTTCTAATCCTATAAAGTATTCTCAACCCAAACAAACACAAACCCAAACCCTTATGCACCATTTTAATATAACCAAACACATACCCATATGCTCCCATACATCATACCTATGTTGACCCTTTCAGTCTCCTCTAGTCCACTCACAAACAAACATACACACCTATAAGACGTAGAGCCCCAATACTCCTATGGGATGTCTATCCCACAAAACCCTACAACTCTTTTACATCTTTTTCTCATACCTAACCCTGTAAAGACTTCACCTATTTATAACCATACAAACTTGCCCATTAAGAATCCCTCTCCTCTTAGAATTATTCTCCTGTAAGTCAAACTTGCCTATTAAGAATCCTTTTTCTTTAGAAATTTTCTTTTGCAAGTCAAACTTACCTATTAAAATTCTCTTTCTCTTAGAATTCTTCTTTTGCAAGTCTTTTTGTCCATCAAACAATATCTGACAAATCCCAAACAAATCTCTAACAAATCTTAAATAAATCTCTTATAGAATTTTAGTCAATATTCCTAACATACTTGAAGGGGATCACCTTATACACAAAGACAAGACCAAACTCCCACCAGAACCTAGAGAAGACCTCCAATGAAACCTAAGACTTGATTAGCTGGCCTTTTAATTGTAGGAGTTTGTACAATGAAATTTGTAGACTTACAATGATTTTATTTACTTATATAGCTTGATATTATTTGAAATTGAGTTATTATACGATATATTATCAATGTAATTTTTTTTTATAACCAAAATTAAGAAATTGATATAAATATTTTTTATTTTTTTTATTTTTTTAAATATACATAAAGATAAGTATCATTTTATTAATTTTATTTATGAAATTTAAAAATTTAAAAATTAATTTCACTTTGATATTTACTTAACAGATGTAATCTTTTGTTACAGGAAGAAGTTCCAATCGTTCAGTAAATTTTGCTCTAGGTACGAAACCATTTATCCAAAGGCTTTCTTTTAAATATCCTCTAAAAGTTGTTTTAAACACTCACAAATTTTATGAAAAAAAATAAGATAGAAAAGAATTGCATACAGTAGTCAATGGTTTTTTAAATTATTCATCCTTTTCTCTTTTTTTTTCTTTGCTTTCTAATAGAACAGTATGGAAAATGACTAAAAAATATTAAAGCGGGATAAAGAGTGGGAAGAGTCGCAGAATTAAAGTAAGTGGTGGTTACCAAAATTTTAATTTCCAAGAATTACTACAATTATAGTATTATATGCTTTTATTGAGAATTTCTATTCGGAAGATCCTTTTAAATATCATTTTGTTTTAGGAATTATTACTTTTGAACCATCTACTATAAGTAGTTTTATGAAACTTCTTTGATGCTTATTTGGTTAAAATATTAAAACTACCTATAAACTTTATATTTTTTTAAATAAATTTTTATATTTTTATTGTGTCTAAATATACTTTTACTATTTAATTTGTATTCAAATATATTTTAATTTAAACAAAAGATTAATTTACGTTAAAGGTTTATATATGTACAAATTAAAGGGTAAGAATTTATTTACATATAAATTAAAATTTAAGAGTTTATTTACGTGCAAAATAAAAATTAAGAATTTATTTAAGTGCAATAAAAATATAAAAATTTATTTAAATAAAATCTTAAAATTTATGGACTTTATTATTATTATTATTATTATTATTATTATTATTATTATTATTTTAGCTTTGTTACTTCTATTCTTTACTCTTTGTCATTTATGTTTTTTTTTCTCCAAAATTCATTAAAAGGTTATAAGCGCATTTCGATATTGGCCCTAATTTTCTATTGGTTTCTGCTTATATGGCAGTTTTGGCCTTTGCAGAAATTGGTCTAATGATCACCTGTATCATCACACTCTGTTTCGGAATAAAGATCCTATGCATAAGAACAATGGGGTTTTTTCAGAAGTTCATAAAGAGTGATTCAGATATTGAGGTTTTCATAAGAAATAATGAAACTTTATCTCCCAAAAGATACAGTTATTCAGATGTCAGGAAAATGACAAGCTCATTTAAAGAAAAACTAGGAAAAGGTGGTTATGGAAGTGTGTACAAAGGAAAGCTACCAGATGGCCATCTTGTTGCTGTGGAAGTGCTTGATACAAACAAAGGAAATGGTCAAGAATTTATCAATGAGGTTGCGAGTATTAGTCGAACTTGTCATGTTAATGTTGTCACCCTTTTAGGATTTTGCTTAGAGGGTCGGAAAAGAGCTCTGATTTATGAGTTTATGCCCAATGGATCTTTAGAAAGGTTCATTTACAAAGAAGATACCATGAAGGTGAAGGATCGCCAGCAGTTGACATCAGAAGATTTGTACAAAATTGCGATTGGAATAGCCCGAGGGCTTGAATACTTGCACCGTGGTTGCAACATGCGGATTTTGCATTTTGACATAAAACCTCATAACATTCTTCTTGATGAAAATTTTTTCCCGAAAATCTCTGATTTTGGGTTGGCAAAACTATGCACCAGGAAAGAGAGTGTTGTATCAATGTTTGAAGCTAGAGGGACAATTGGCTACATAGTTCCAGAAGTGTTTTGCAGAAGCGTTGGAGGTGTTTCGTATAAATCGGATGTTTATAGCTATGGAATGATGCTTCTAGAGATGGTTGGAGGAAGAAGGAACATAGATGTTGGGGTAAGTCAAACCAGCGAGATTTATTTTCCTCATTGGATCTATCAGCATGTTGTGCAAGACCATATTGAACCGAAATTGCTTGGTCTCAATGGTAACGAAGAAACTGAGATCGCAAGGAAGATGATATTAGTCGGTTTGTGGTGCATACAAACAAATCCGCATGACAGGCCTTCGATGAGTAAGGTGATCGAGATGTTGGAAGGAAGGATAGAATTGTTGCAAATTCCACCTAAGCCTTACCTGTCTTCTCCTCCGAGATCGCCGGTGGATTCTGCCTCCTCTACATTATCACGATATATGCATCTTTAGAATAATCTATATTCTTATGTTTTATGTTATGGGAAAGGAAGTTAATTTTTTTCTAAAGTGTTAAAAGTTTAGTCGTTTAATCTATGTTCAGATCATAAGAAGGTTTATTGATGATAATCAGAGGAATATAATTTAAATTTTTTGATGACAATATAAAAGGTTCCTCTTGGTTGATATTTTTGCTATTTGTCATATGTTTTCACTTCATGTTTTCTTATTCTTAATTGTATTAATTAGTTGTATGTATGTATGTATGTATGTATTAATTGGCTTAGAAACTCAAAAAGTGAACTAATTGTATGTCAAGAAATCAATAATAATAATAATTTGTGCTTTATGTCTTACAAGGCTATTGGATAATTAAATTTAATATATGTTAATTCTTCTTTTAATAATTATAAAATATAATTAAATTTGAAAAACAAAATAAATAAAAAAGTTATTAAAAAAGAATGAGTAGATTAATAATATATAAATAATGATCAATTAGAATTTAAATTTGTACATAACATGAATTTATTAATGCTTATTGAGTAGGAGTAAAACATTATAACTAAAATTTATAATCCTTATTTGTGGAATCAATTATTATGAACCTCAGTTGGTAATACTAAAACTAAAAAGGTGGCTAACAAATGTTATTATTTCGTTAGAAAATGTTACTATTATTTTCAACGAATTTCAACGAATATAACTCAATCATATAAACAAACTGCTCGCTGTTTTTAGTTTAGATCATTTAAACAAACAAAAGTTACTTAACATTCATAGTGTAAAATACATCACAATTATCTCAATTTGTAATTTAATTTCTTTTTGAGAATCACCTATTGGAGTCCTTATGTGATTGAAGATAATATCATCTATATATAAAAATGTTAACTTCAAAAGTAGTAATAGTGATCAACCTAAATACCCTTATAAAATTTTAAATTAAAAAAATTATCCTTAAATATATATAAATTTTATTAATTTATATAAATTTAATTTAAATCAACTAGACATAAAAAATAGAGTTTATGAGAAATTAAACTACTTAAAATTTTAAAATATTAATTCTAAAAGTGTTAAAAGTGATTGACTAAAATATCTTTAGCAAATTTTTTTTATAAATTTTAATTTAAATGAATTTTTTATTATTAGATTCTTTTTATAATTAGACTAAAAAATGCTAAAGTGATTAACTAAACCCTTAATAAAATTTTAATTCCAAAAATATTAAAAATGATTTATTAAAATACTATTAGTATTTTTTTTATAAATTTTAATTTAAATGACTTTATTTTTATTATTAAACTCCATTTTTTATAAGTAAAATGATTTTTTACATCAAATGAAAATACAAATAAAATGATATGAAAGCTTAATGTGTATAGGAATAAAATAATTATAAAATGTTTTTTTTTTTTAGTTATTGTGAAACTAATTGTATATGTAGTTTATGTTGATAAATAAATTCATTAAAAATAATTATAATTAAGTCATTTAAGCATTTTTTTTCCTTTCAATTTTTTTGTTTTAATATATTAACTATATATGTATGATAATAATTTTATTATTTATATGTTTTATAAGTTGATCATTTTTTTATTGATAATATAATTAAATCTTTTTATTCCCTTGAAATAATTCTTTAATATATTATTCTTACATTTTAGTATGACATTTATAATTCATTTTTCTTTTGTATTTTTTTCCTTTAAAATTTTATAATTTTTATTCTCATGAACAAAAACTAATATCAAATCAAACACAAATCAATTACACCCCCTTCACCAACAAGTAGCACTATGTGATTTATTAAATATTTTAATTAGACCTTTTACCTATAGAATTAGATAATTTAGGAGATAGTGGAGCTACTTATAGCTCAAGGTTGGATCCTGTCAAATTGCCATAAGAACTGTTTACTTTGATTGAAATAATAATTAATTTAATTTTCTCTCAACCTTTATCTTAATATACCTATATATGATTAATTTATATTTCAAGATTATTTAATCTTTCTCAATTATATTAAATTGCTCACTTATTTTTGTCATTCAAATGGTTGAATGACCTAACGTAAATTATTTTAAATAAAAAATTATCAAGTAAAACTAAATATTTTTGGTAAATTCTTTTAATGTGTCATAAAATTCATTGGAACTTTTTTTAAAATGTGTTTATGCTAAAATTATATTTATCCATGAAAATTTATGTTGTTAATGCAGAAAAATTATTATAAATTATGTAAGTATTATACAACAAGTTTGTTATTCTTAGAATTGAAATTTTCTTAATATAACATGACAATTCCCAAGATTAGGAATTTATTTTATTTTTTAAAATTATGTATTTTAATATTTTTATATAATAAAAATTTATGTATAATAAAATTTTTAAATAAAAGGAAAATTAAGTTTTTAATCCATAGAACGTACAATTACATTCAATTGGTGGAAGTATCAATGGAAGATTATCCTAAACAAAAAAATAAGACAAAAATTGATTGATTATGTCTAACAACATTTTTTTCATGTGATAAAGAAGGTTAGAGCTATATGATGTTCAATAAAAAAATATACAAATGTATTGGCTTCAATTTTCTTTAGGATTAATATGAAACTTTTTTAATTGAAAAAATATTGTATACTCTTTTATTTTCTCCTTTATGTTAGTTGAAAAATATTCATGGTTGTGTCAAAAATTTTAAAGTTGTCATATTAGGTAATATTTGTTCAAAAGAATTGATATTCATTGAATTAATTATCACTATTACATTTAATATAAAAATATTATTATAAATTATAATTTAACTAAACTTAAAAATAATTTAAAGATATTCATTAGCAAAATTAATTTGATAAATTTTTATTTGATTGTGTTTTTAGTATTTCAATTATTTTGAATTTTCACTTTTTATAATTTTGAGTTAGATTTTAAACTTGAGATCAGCTACCAAGTAGGTTAAGTCAAGTTTTATTATATATTTTTATTCATGGTGTACTCAATTATTTACTTATACTACTAAACAAATTTGACTCAATAATTGGTGCATGTTTCTTTTTATTTAAAAAACTGGATTAAAATTGCCCTAAATCCAAATAAGAAAAGTATATTCAACTACTTATAATTACAATTTCATTTTAGAAATACATTTGAAATTAATTAACTATTTCAATTACACAAACAATAAAAATAAGACATTGAAGATGAAGAAAAAAAGCTTAAATAAAATACTTTTAAATTATTAAGAAAGATGAATAAGAAATATTAGATTTTGATTGAATTACTATTTTAATTAGGATTTTGGTTATAATCAATCATTTTGGGTTTTAAATAACTACTAAGTTGTTTTTCAAAATCAATTGAAATCGAGTCAAGTTAGTTCATATTTATAATTATGTGTGTTATATTATTTTTAATTAAATTAAAATTTAAAATGAGTAAAAAATTTATTTATACTCAATTTGAGTTTTGAATTGTTTCAAATTTGAGTTGATTAATCTATGTTATTTTAGTTATACTTTTTTGAATCTATGTTATTTTAGTTATACTTTTATGAAACTAATAATAAATTTTAAAATAGAATGAGAAGACAATATAATAAAATTTTAAATGCAAAAATGATGGAGACACTAATAATAATTCTAGAAAAAAATCTTTATGTCCAAGTCTTATAGAGATTAAAAGATATATCTTCCTTTTAGGATTTTTAAATTTATATTGTAAAAATGTTAATTAGATCAATGAGTTTATAATTGTTTATTTATTGATCAAGTTGCTATTATATGGGTTGAGAGAAACAATTCAAACATTTCATTTGAAAGAAATATTATAATTTATACTTATTCAAGAAGACAGAATAGAGCTAAACATTATTTGAATTGTTATGAACTCTTACAATATTTTTTATTCTTTCCTAATTGAGAAGTTGGTTGGTATCAAAATATATATAAAAAAAAAACTTTTTAAATGATAGTAATAACAATAAAGCAGTAATTAAAAATATATCATCTTTTTGTTTAGTAAAAGAAAATTTTTATACAAAATGTGAAGATAATTTTGTGAATTTAATATTTTTAAAATTGTGGTTTGTTTAAATTTTATAAATTTTATTTAGTAAATTTGTTCTCATTCCTTTTATCACATATATAACAAAATTTTTACCAAAAACTATATACTTAAAGATAAAAGCATAAGACAAAGTTTATTACTTACATTGGTGACAGAACACTTTAAAATTTCCAATATTTTAGATGCAATTATATTTTGCTAACAAATATGAAAACATATATACTAATAATTCAATGAAATCATTAATAAAACTTATTTTAATATGTATTATTTTACCATGAACTAAAAAATTTGAAGAATATTTTACAAGTGTTAACTTAATATATATTGTATATATTTATTTAATTTAATTTTAATATTTGCATTAGTATAAAAAGTTATAAAAGTTATGATTTTAACTTATTATTACGTGTTAAACAACTAATAGTAAATTAAAAGCATTTATTTGTGCTTTTCAAGTCATTTACACTTGAACCTTTTTTTCTTTCTTTTTCTACCTTACGATCATACATTGTGATTACGTTCTTTTTGGATATTCATAAATCAATGAGAAATAATAGTAGATAATTAATAACTTAGTAATTAATTATTAAAAACTTAAATGTAATTAGTATAACTTAGTAGTAATCATTGATAACTTAGTAGTAAATTAGTATTAACTTAATAGTAAATAAATGATAATTTAATAGTTAAAGTTGATAACTTTTTAGTAAATCAGTAATAATAAAATAATAAATGCATAATAGACATAGTAGTAAATCAAAGATAACTTAACAAAAAATAAATAATAATTTAATAGTTAATTATTAATAACTTAATAATAAATTAATGATAACTGAATAGTAAATTAATGATAATTTAATAGTAATTTAATTTCAGTTTAATAGTAATTAATTTATAGTAGTAAATAATAAATAACATAGTAGTAAATCAATTATAAATTAGTTGTAAATAATTGATAATTTAATAGTTATTTATTGAAAACTTAAAATTAAATCAATATAACTTAATAATAAATCATCGATAACATAATAGTCAATCAATGATAATTTAATAGT